GAGCAGGGCCCTTAAGGAGATGGGCTGACACCGTGGCTGCATCGACGGGCTTAAGTTTGGCGGCAGCAATCGTAAGGATGGCTCAGGAAGGTGCTCTGTGTCCTTCTGCAGTGCATGGGGTGGCTAGGGGTCAGGACACCTACTAATAGCAACAGCAACAACAAGAGAAAGTTGGCGTGATGACTTGTACCGAGCCTGCGGGGCTGAGCAGAACCTCCCTGAACGTTCAGTCAGGGGAGCGCTTAACCACTGTGCCACCAGGGCTGCCGGCACAGACTCCGCACCTCCTGAGTGGGGGTTCCCCAGGAGGGTGTCCTCCCCCCACCCCCACCCCCACCCGCGCTGGCTGCACAGGAACCGGGGAGGGGCCTGCACTTACTTCCTCGTCTTCCTCTGCACCCACGAGAGCAGGGTCTTAATGGCCTTCCGCTGGTCCTTGAGGGACAGCACCGCGCTCCTCTCCGTGGTGGGCGTCGGGGGGAAGGAGGAGTCCGAGTCGGTGCCCCCCGAGCCGGGAGACAGGCTCAAGGACGGAGAGTTCCGGCTGAGGTTTCCCGTGAGCTCCTTAATCTGGAAGAGACGGGCGTTTCAGCGCATAGGGCAGACGGGGCCTGGCCCACGGCCGCGGTCTCGGGGACTGCCCAGGGGGACAGTGCACACATAGACCACTCTCCAGAGGAACGCCCCTCCTGATGGTCAGGGGCCAGGTGGGGCATGGGGACAGCCATGGTCTGGCAGAATGACACCTCTGGGAGCCATCCATCTACACACGAGGGTCCCCTCCCTGGCCATGCCCAGCCTGCCCTCGTCATTTGCCACCTGCCACAGTGACATGTGTGCCCACGACTCTTGCTCCTGCCAGTCCAGTGGTCTGGGGGGCCCTTCCTTGCTCCTTTCCTGCGGGGGGGGGGGGAGGCTTATGAAAATGCAGAGCCCCGAGTCCTGCCCTAGAATCTGCCTTTTCCTACGCGCCGCGCCCGGCAATTTGAGTGCACTGCATGGTACAGTTTGAAAAAGCAGTGATCTGGCGTGCTCCTACACATCCCTCAGAACCCAGCTGCAGCGTCACCTCCCCTGGGAAGCTCTCCTCCCTCACCCTCTCCATCCGAAGTAGTTGCTTACAACAACCTGCTCACATCTGGTCACTCCCGCCCCAGGATTCCTAGGGGGTCACGAGGTCTGGGCTTCGCATGCCCAAAGCCGGGGAGAAATGGGGCGGGGTAAACCCTTCACTAACACGAAGGAATGGAGCCCAGGTGGTACCGTGGTTAGTGGGGCTGTGGCGATCTGCCTAGTTGGCAGTTCAAAACCACCAGCATCTCGGAGGGAGAAAGGCTGGGCTTTCCACTCCCGTACAGGGACTGTCTCGGAAACCGACAGGGAGTCGCTATGAGTCAGCACTGACTCCATGGGAGCGAGAACATGAGGGAAGCTTCCCGGCACTTAGCGGGGATTTCATCAACAAGCCCCTGTCCCGCGTGGGCCTTGAATACAGGGCTTATTCCCATTCCACAGAGCTGGACACTGGGCTCAGAGGCAGCCCAAGGTTCACACAGAACTGGACCCACCGTCTCCAAACCCTGTACCTTGTCTGGGTCAGGTGCCCTCTGAAGCAAGCCACCAGCCCCGGCGAATCGGTTCGCCGTGAGGGGTGAGGGGCGTGGGTCCTGCCACGAAGAGCCATGGTTTCAGAGGAGAGGATGAGGCGATGCCAGCTCACCCCTCCCACTCAGAATAAGGACCTTGATCACCAGCTAAAATGCCACCTTCACCCTGCAGCCAAGCTGCGGTCCTTCCAGCATTGAGCCCATTTCCAAAGAGAGGTGGGAGTGACCGCGCCTGGAGAGTCCCTCCCCCTTCCTGGGGCCAGCCTGGGCTCACACTCCTGCATCGGGCCTGCTGAGCACTGGTGTGCGGGGAAAGAGAAATTCTCATACTCAATTTTTGGCCGGAAGTACACCAACACACACACACACACACACACACACACACACACACACACACACACACATCGGCACTTGCTCTAAGGCTTCTGGCTCCTTAAAACCAGACAGCAAATACTGGTTCCCACCCCACCCCCAACTAACAGAGCCTTCTGAATCGGTTCCTTCAGTACCCAGAGGAGTCAAACGTGCTGGTGAAGACACCCCATTTTCTCCCTTGACCGGGCCCTGCTATGATCCCCCTGAGCTTGAAGCGGTCTGCAGGAGAGCAGCTACCTTGCTGGGGACAGACAAGGGTTTTGATAATGGATTCTGCCTCCTGACCAGAGACCAAGCACGTGAACAGCCGTGCGGTCACGTAGGTGCGTTGGGAAGTGGATCACCACAGAGGTAGTGGGGTTGAAGTTCAACACCGTGTCCTCTGATCCCCCTTTGAAGTCATTTTAAATTTGTTCTAGTTTCTAATATTTTCTACTTTCTTTTTGATAGAGGTTTCTCTGTTTGACTTTGTTATTGTTGTGAGGCTTGTTGTTGTCATTGTTTTTTCTGGATATGAAATCTAGGAGAAGTAAATCTATAAATATAGTAATGGGATGAATGGCTCCTTGGTGGGGCATGGCAGGGGAGGCTGAGGGGTGGTGGGAATGCAGAGCTAATAATTATGAGTATGAGATTGAAGAGCAAGTTCTACAATGTGGTGACGATTGTACAACTCTTCTCGATGTGACTGAACTGTTGACTTGTATGGGACATGCCAACAGAACCATTTTTATTTTTTAAGGAAAAGAGAAGTGCGCTCACCTGGAAGAAGAGGATGATGTTCCATATCAGCCCCAGAACCAACGCGGGGTTCCCATCTGCTATTTCCGCCGCGTCGATGCTAACCAGTTTTACCTGGGGAGAAAGAGGGGTCCGCTTAGAGGGGGTGCCCAGGCAGGCAGAAGCCCGTTAGGCTGAGGTACCTACAGGCTTCCCTTTGGCCAACTCTCAGCAAGGGCACCACCAGCAGGCTGTCATGTACATGCTCATGCGATTACGAACATGCAGGTTCTGATCCGAGTGCGGTACAAACATGGGCTTGGTTCATCCTCACAAAAGCCTGGGCCTTTTGTAGGGCCAGATGTAGGGCCTGCCAGTCTCCTTTCAAGACAAGGGGGGCTTCCCAAAGCTCCCGGGAAAATGGTACGGAATACTGGCGGGATCCCCCCAGCCCCACCCTGTATTGCAGGTAAGATGATGTCAGAGGTACCGAACACCATGTGCCCAGGGACACCTGGCGGGTAAGGTTTCAGTCACTCTTTTTCAAGGAGAGACACAAACCAACCAACCAACCGATGAGTCCAGCTCCTGGCGTTAGCTTGTCCCTGGCTCATGGTGACCCGACATGGATCAGAACAAAACGCTGCTCAGGCCACGCGTCACCTTCATGATCTCTGACGTGGCCAAGCCCACTGTTCTATTCCACCTCATCCCAAAGGTCTCTCATTTCCACGGACCCTCCACCAGACACGAGGAACCCCGGTGGCATGGTACACACACGTTGGGCTACGATCTGCACAGCCAGAAGTTGGAAACCCCCAGTTGCTCCATGGGAGCAAGACATGGCTTTCTACTACCTAGAGAGCTACAGTCTCAGAAGCTCCTGGGGGCAGTTCTACCCTGTCCTACAGGGTCGATAGGAGCCGGCATGGGCTCCATGGTGGTTGAGTTTGGCTTTTTTTGGTTTGTACCGAACTCCGGGTGATTTCTGGTCTTTCCTGGTAGCGTGTATGCAAGCCAAGCTCCCGCCACCCTCCCTACCGAGGAACAGTCTAGTTTTATGTCTTCGAAGGCTCATCTGCTTGTTCTTCTGGAAGGCCACGGAATATTCAACCAAACACCTCAATTCAGCTGTGTCCACTCTTGTCCTGTCTCCTTCCCTCATCGTCCAGCTCTGCATGCATAGGACTGAAGAGACCATGACTTGATCAGGTGCACCTTGGTCCACAAGTGGACATCTTTGCCTTTTACGCCATCAACCCTATTGGGACCCATGGACACATGTTGTCCACCAACATCCTCAGCCGCCCAGGTTTCTTGGGCAGCTTCGATCCCAGTTGTTATACCCGCTGCTGTCTGGCAAGGACTTGTATAGCTAGGTAAAGCGAAAGAAACTGGCCTCATCCCAAGAACCCTACAAGCCCACTGGGACATATGTGTCCCACATGGTGACATCAAAACCCATATGACCTAAAAATAAATAAGTAAATAAATGTTCCCCTGATGTCCGCACGTCCTCTGTTACTAAAGGGCAGCTCTGGTGGCTCTCCGGCTGCTCACTGTAAGGGTGGCCGTGGGAAACCACCGGCCGCTCCGAGGGAGAAAGACGGGCTCTCTACTCCCTGTAAAGAGTTACGGTTTTAGCAACGCAGAGAGGCAGTTCCACCCTGTCCCACAGGGTTGCTATGAGCCGGCATCCGTTCGAGGGCTGGGGGCTTGGTTTCGTTTCTTCGTTCATAAAATACACACGATGCCGCAACACAACATCCGAAGCTGAGAACAACTCGTCGTGGAAGGGTTAAACAGGTGCACGCTCCTAAACCACATCCCTCCCAGCACACGACACACCCGGTCCCCGCTCGCCGGCTGGGCTTCAAACACTTACGTTGCTATCTTCCAAAAACTTAAGTGCTTTCGCAATGTTGTTCAACCGAAAAATACGGTGGGTGGAGGATTTGTACTCATGCAGCTACGAAAGAAAACAAAACGAGACGTAAAGCGAGCATGACGTGGTGGTGAAGATGCTTCCGAATGGCCCCCCTCCCCGCCGACCCTCATCCCCAGCATCCTGGGCTGGTCTGTCATGATCCACAAGGTCCCCCCCGTGGCTGATTTTCAGAAGTGGATCACCAGGCCTTTCTTCCTAGTCTCTCAGTGCAGCACAGTGGGAGTGCTGGAGAGACCTGGGATGGGGGTGGGGGTGGAGGCTGGGAAAGCAGATGCCCACACTTTATCCTGGATGAGGAGCTAGAGCACAGTGGAGGGAGACGAGTTCTTTCATTATTCCCCTAAAAAGGCAGCGTCAGTCCAGAAACACCCGAGAGCCTGGGGACACTCTGTGGACACTGATGGAGCACGGCAGCATCAGCAAGCTTCCACTGATAGTTGGGCGGTGTCTGGGCACAGGGTGCACTGCCGGACTTTAAGGCCCAGACACCTTAAAGAACCAAGAGCTACGCCTTTCTTATTTTGAAGAATTGTTTTGTTGACATGTAATTCAGATATATGATCCAAACGATCAATCATATTAAAGAGTTGTACAGTGATGGCTCTAATCAGTTCTAGAATGTTTTCTTCCTTCTTATACTCATTGTTATTAGCTCCCCTCTTCCCTCAGCCTCCCCGGCCAGACCCCCAATAAGCCGTTAATCCAGTTACTGCTATTGCTATGCCTGTCCCATCTACAGGAAAACATAACAAAAAAACAAAGACAAAAACTTCAACAACAATAACGAAACCTCAGCCGAAAAGAAAGTGGGAAATATCAAAAACTAGGACAAACAAGAACGGGTTAAAAGGGAGATGACATGATAAGGGGATGCCCTGAAAGCTCTTCGTGGTCTGAGCGACTCAAAGGGGGTAAATGGAGGAAAAGTAAAGCTGAGATGGAATTGCAGTCTCCAGTGACACACAGTCCATTTCAGATGAACAAGAGATGCAGTGTTACAGTTTAACCTACGCGCATCTGCAGCCACCCACCTTCCACTGCACTCTGTAAGATAACACATACCTTTCTTTTCCTTCGCATCCACCCCCCTGCCCTGTGCCATCGCCCCCATATAGGTTTCCAGAGATAGAGAGAGACAGGCAGGCTGGCGGCTAACAGCCCCCTGGATCGAGTCACAGGGCCCAGGGACGATGATGTAATGTCACTGGACCCAGGACAGACAACTGATGTGGCATCATCACGGGGCCAGAGGGCCGACCTACTCGGAGCGGATGTTCATGTTCTCTGGGCCAGAGCTCACCAGCGCTGGTGAAGGCAGGGACCACCGTGGGGACTGCCAGCACCTCCTCTCCGCCCAGGCTCCCGCCCTCCTCCAGCATTGCCGGCGGGACCCTTCCTGATGGCCATGGACACTGCTGTTCTCCAAACCAGAGTGACCTCAGCTCAGAAACAGAGAAGACAAGACAGATTAAGCTGCCCACAGATGCCAACAGTCTGAACTCGTTCGCGCCGTCGGCGTAAATGATAGCCCCTGCCATCGAGCCCATGCCACTCACGCTGGGTCGGCGTGAACTGTGGCCCTGGTGGGTGTGTTCACGTGCTGTCTGGACCCCCAGGGGCCTAACTTATCTGAATGGCAGCTTGCCGTGACTGCTCTTCAAGGGGGCTCACATCTCAAAGCCAGGCAGCCGTGTGGGTCCCACCAGGTGTGGCCTGCCCAGCTAATGGGTAACCTGAGGCGGGCTGGTCCTTGGTTAGCTGGGTCCCTAACGACATCAACTGGGGTCAAAGACTCACACGGAGCCCCCACCCAACCCCCGGGGCTAAAACCACTCTGGCAACCCACATGGGGCCTGCGGCGTGGGGATCAGGAATTTGAACTGCACATTCTGGCTTGAGCTCTGCTGAGAATTGCCAGCCTTCCCCTCCCCCACTGCAGATCAACCAGTTAACCAGATCCCCAGAGATGTTCATGCACATCCTAGAAGACTCCTTAGTGGGGTGGGAACGGGGGTGGAGGGGGGAGGTAGGTGTTGTTAAAATGCAGGTTTGGGGGCTAGAACAAGAGGAACTGCTGTGAGGCCCTCCTGGGGACACAGGACAATGGCCCAGGACCTGCTTGTCCAAGAGCCTTGGGGGGACCATGCTGATGGGTCACGGGGAGAGCTACTGCCCTCAAGACCAACACCCTGGGTTATCGTGGGGAGAGCCCAGGGATGCACCCAGCTGCCGTGCAACTCACATGGCTGTGCCGATGTCACCAGGGCCAAGGCTGAGAAACCTGCGGTGTGTATGAGTGTGGGGTATGTGAGTGTCAGCACAAAGCTACCTGCAACCTGGGGTTTGGCTGCCGTCCACAGTAGGAGGTAGCGTCAAAATTGGCTATCTGGCTCAACCTGGGCATGAGAATGTTCTAGAAGCCGGCTGTCCAACCTTCACCCCTTGGGTTGCCTGTCAAATTTGGGTGGTAAGCATTCTTTCTCCTTAATCAACCTGATTTTTACCTAGTTAGCATAAGGCTGCCAAACTAAGTTTCAGGTGCCCGGGGGCGCTGTAGGTTACATAGTGAACTGCTGCTAATCACAAAGCCGGCAGTTTGAAACCACCAGCCGCTCTGTGGGACAAAGATGAGGCTTTCTACTCCGGTCCAGGGTGACAGCCTCACCACTGCAGTCTGAGGGGCCGTTCACTCTGTCCTCTGCGTCGGCATCAACGAGGGCAGTGAGTTCTGAGCTTCACTACGTTTCACAAGGAGTCCTGCTTGTGCAGTGGGTACGTGCCCAGCTGGCGAGCCTCTAGGTCGGCCGTCGCACCAGCTGCTGCTCTTTGAGAGAGAGATGGCCTTTCCATCCCCATAGCGTGACAGTCTCTGAAACTCACAGGGGCAGTTGTACCCTGACCTACGTGGTCGCCGGGGCCCGGAACAGACAGGGCAGTGAACAAGGAGGGGCAAGTGTAGCGGAGCTTAATGACCTCATCCCAGCGCCCGGCTTCAGTAGGCACCCAGAACACGGCATCCGTCTACTGGCTGGTGTTCTCAGTCCAATGTACAGTGAACCCTAGGCGCCACTTCACGCTTCGACTTCCGCGGCTTCACTTACAGCGTTTTTTGCGTAACAGTGCATGCTCTGTCATTACTGCCACTGATTGGCTCATACTGTACACGCTTGATGCCATAAATAATATAATAAATAATAAATGATAATTGTAACGTCCAAAATGTTTAATAAATTGGGTAATACGAGTGTAATGGTGACTAAAGGGTGTTTTTTCATGTCCTCTATGCTCTAACTACGAAAATATTTGATTTACAAATAAGGAATCCTACTTCGCAGAATTTCATTTATCACGGTAGGGTCTAGAACCGATTAACCGCGATAAACGAGGGTTCACTGTATTTACTGAAGGAGAAGACAGTGCTGGGTGCACATAATCACGCCATCCTTGGTGAAGGAATGTCACTCTGCGGTGTCTCTGTCAGAGGGCACACAGAGCCAAAACACACACACACACACACACACACACACACACACACACACACACACGCCGGCGTGTGCATGGACCGTGACGCTGTGCCAGATGGACACGGGGCTGTCCACTGGACCCATGTCTGCCATGTCCTCTCCCCGACCCTCCCTCGACATACGTACCAGATTTCGTCCGGACAGGACTTCTAACAAAGCCATTAAGATTTTGCCATCTTGAATGTCAACGAATAAATCATTAACTTCTAGTGGAGGGTTGCACTGTGGGAGAAGAAGAAAGGACACCCCATGAGCGAGGGTGGGGCCCACACATGGCTTCAGAGATGAGGTTTCAGCTCCAGAAAGCAAACATACAAAACCCCCACACTTTCAGCTCTGTCCACAGGCAGAAGGACCCGGGACAGAGGGGAGGCAATAAGCAACCCTGGGGCATGAGGCCGTGGGAGGTGCTCAGACGCTGAACAAGAGAGTGTGGAGGCCTCCAGCATCGTTGGGCACATGGCCCCAGGGACTCTCCTCGCCGGAGATCTGTCCCCCAGGATGAGACACCCCGTGTCTGCTGAAGCCTAGAAATAAAGGGGCTGACGGAGCCTGCTGTAGACTGCAATCATTCTGTGGATGACAATCGGAGAGCCTGCTGGTGGAGTGGCCATACGCTGACCACAAGGCCGGCAGTTTGAAGTGGCCATCCACTCCTTGGGAGAAAGATGAGGCTTTCTACTCCTGTAAAGAGCTACCGTCTTGGCCTTTTCGACCAGCTAAAGGTCCTTTGGTCTTTCTTCCCCCTCAGCATGGCCCCTCCAGAGCTGCACTGTCTGAACCTTCACATAAACGAGAAGAAAGGCAGTCTTGGGAACCCACACAGGCAGAACTGCCTCGCTGGCAGTGAGCTGTCTGGTTTATTAGGGAACATGTGGACTCAAACGTGCAAGCCCCTTACCTCCCACCTGGGGAAACTGAGGTTCCAGAGGCTGGATGACACCCCTGCTTTCTGGTCTGAACAGCTCTTTGGTAAAGTATCAAATCCCCACCCCAACCCACTCCTGCCCCCAGCTGGACACCAGAACACCCCAGACCTCCACGGTGACCGCATGACTGGTGGACTACCCTACCCACGGGACCTCACTGCATGTCTGCCAGTCCCTACCCGCTGACCCCATCTCCATCATTGCTCAGGTCTTCTTTGGGGGAGGCCCTGAGGTTCCTGGTGACTGGAGATGTGGGACCCCTGATGGAGAAAGCCAAGGGCTGACTGGTGTGGGAGAGAGGAGGGGGGTATGGACAAACAGCTGGCCGGAGGAGCAGTGGAGGTCGGATGAAGAGGAGGCAACCCTCCCTGTGGCCCCCAGCCCTTGCCCCACAAGTTTGCAGGTCTGAGAGATTCCTACAGGCCAGAGAGCTGTGTTCACACACACAGGGATTCGACGGCCTCATATCCCTGTGGTGTTAATCCATGCTCAACCAAGCAAACCACGTAAACTCGCATTAAAAGAGGCCCCTCTGCTGAGTCACAAAGCACTGCACCTCCCTGTCTCCACATAACCCAGACTTCCCGAGAAATGCCCCACTTTCCCAACCTGCACCCTTTATCCATTCTCTACCCAGAAACGAGATACACCCACGTTCAAGTGCATCTCATTGGCTCAGCTCTTACTGGGGGCTTGCAGTCTCCCAGCCTGCGGTCCATGTGGGACAGGCCAGGGCAGGGCTTTGAGCCCTGGGAGGACCCAGCAGAGACTCAGCCGGAGGCAGCACCTGAGTCACCAGGAAACCTGGCTTGCGGTAGTGAGGTGCCCTGCTGGGGTACAGGCTGGGCGATGCTCCCCTAGAGCGAGAGGCCTACTCTAGGGAGTCATCCACTGAGCTCCCCGAAGAAGCAAAGTGCAGCTCAGACCCCAGAATCTGCAGGCTGCTGGCGAGTCAGGCAAAAAAAAAGGCAGTTCCTTGTTCCCCACCAGCAGGCTCTGCGGTACAGTAAGAGTTGGCCCAGCCACACCCACCTTGGGGAGGTCACTGTCTATACATCCGTTCCTGTGCCCACCGAAAGCTTGGCTGGGCATGGCCTTGGGTGCCCACAACCTGCTGGAGCTCGAGTCAGCTGCCCCCCATCCTCCACGCTCAGTGCAAGGATTGGCAAACTGTGTTCCGGGGAACCCCTGTCTTCGGCAGAGCAGCTTCAGGGCGCCCTCTAGGGGCCACCCTTGTTGTTAGAAGGTGCCACCCAGTCGGTTCCCACACGTTGCCACCCTAAGGACAGAAGGAAACACCGCCTGGTCCTGGGCAGTCGCACAGTTGTTCTTCTGTTAGAGCCCATGTCTGTCCTGCTGGTCCAGGGCCTTCCTCCTTTCCAAGGCCCTTTCCTTTACCAAGCGTGATGCCCAGTCCTCGTCCAGGGACTGGTCTCTCTGACCACAGGTCCATAGTTCTTGAGACCAAGTCTCGCCATCCTTGTTTCTAAGGAGCATCCCGGCTGCACTTCTTCCGAGACAGCTCTGTGTGTTCTCCGGGCAGTGCACGGTCCTTTCCAGAGTCTTCACCGGCACTGTAGTTCAAGTGCACCAATTCTCCACTGGCCATCCTTATTCAACGCCCAACTTTCGCATGCACACGAGGCCACGGAAAATTCCACGTCTTGGGTCAGGGGTATGTTAGTCCTCAAAGGGAGAGCCTGGCTTTTCAATACTTTAAGAGATCGTGGGCAGCACGTTTATTTACCCAATGCAACGTGTCCTTCGTCCCTGGACTGCTGCTTCCGTGAGCACTGACCGTGGATCCAAGCAAGGTGACATCCCTGACGACGTCAACCTTGTCTCCGTTCATCAGGATGTCACCTCTGGTCCAGCTGTGTGGGGCTGAGCGGGGCTCAAGCAGCTCAGCTTTGACCGGCCTGGCCTTAGGGTTCCTGATGACCCCTGGCTGGACGACCGGCTCCTGTCCACTCACCAGTGGCCATGCAGTTGCCTCAGGCTCGGGGCAGCCCCAGGCGTGCCTGCAGAACTGTGCTCCATTGGGGGTGCCCGAGCCTGACTTTTTCAGAAGCTGTTTGCCAGGTCTTTACTCCCAGGCACCTCTGGGTGGGCTGGCCACTCTGTCCTGTGGGTTAGCAGCATGGACCCTGTGCACCGCCCCGGGAGTTCTTGTGCTGGTTAAACAAACTCCCCCACAGCAGCATGTTTGGGGGGGCAGGGCCCAGGGATGTGAATTTCTCAAAAGCTCCACCTCCCAGATGTGGATGGCCTGTCCCCTGGGTAAGAGTGAAGAGTGCTTGGGCTAGGTGTGGCCTCTGCTCCTGGCCGGCCTGGGGAGAAGGGGGGAGTTCACAGATGAGATTAGGGTTGCTGGAACTAGACGGCCAGACCTTTCTTCCAACAAGCAGCCGACTGGGTTTGAACGGACAACCTTTCCGGTTAATAATCCAGTGCTTAAGGCTTTGAGCTACCCAGGTCGGCCTGCCTGTGACCCAGGGGAGGGCCAATCTTGGCACAGCAGCGCGACTAATAAACCAGTTGCCCCTTTTTTCCGGGAAAGTCTCCTTCCTGTCCCAGCCTGCGAGGGTCCTGTTTGACTCTGTTCAGCCAGGTGGCACTTCCTTATGTCTTATACAAGCCGACTCCCTGCCGGTCCGGGCTCTGGTGGTCACAGGTGCCGAGGAAACCAGGGACTCTGACCCCAAAGACACGTGTTTTCTTTGCAAATCCCCCTAGATCCTTGGGTGCAGGGCCCCGTTGTGCAGACAGGATGGCTTCGGGTTACCAAGACGCGGATGGAAATGTTAGTCCTGCTGACTGGAGGCCGACAGCTCCGGTCTGAACAGGAGACACCCCCCCCCCAACCCCCGCCAGCAGACATGTGTATGGCTTAGTTAACCCTTCAGAGAACAACATGCTGCCGTTCCCATCCAAGCAAGCCGGGCTGTGGCCGGGATCCACCCAGAGAGAGGGCAGCAGGAAGCAGAGAACTCCAGTGCAGGCACTCAGGGGCCCAGAACATTCCATAGGCTTCAGGAGAGCAGGATGGTGGACAAACAGCACCCCAAGGGCTGTCTCCGTGAGTAGCTCCTTCCTGCCATAAATGAGGGTTTTTTCCCACCTGAAGAAAAGAGCGTTTCTTCTTCAATAGCTCTGACTACCTTCCTCCAGGGCTCGTTCCTGGGAAGCCTCAAGGTTGGAAGCAGGGTGTTCATGCTGCCCCATTAGGAGGCTCCAGTGACATCTGATTTCTCTCCAGAGCTGGGGGCTGCGACCCACCTGTCCCCTCAAATACTGGGGAGAGGGAGCCTGACTCGGGGGACAATGCTGGATAGGGGTATTTTAGGGGCCCTGGGGCACAGTGGGGTCCGCTTTGTGCTGCAGTGGGGGCAAGCCCACCAGCAGCTAGCTCTGTGAGAGAAAATGGGGCAGTTGGTCCCTGTAAAGATTGACAGCCTGGAAAAACCTGTGCTCCGGCAGCCCCTGGACAGGGAGACTGAGAATGGTGGTTGTCTTGGGGTCCAGCCTAGGGTGCCCAGAGGGCTCAGATTTCTGTCCTCTGGTGTCCCCTTCTTGTTGATTCACTTCCCATAAGGGCCCTCCTTCTGTCGGTCACCACACTGTTTCTTTTCAAACTCAATGCCACAGAGCTCGTCCCGGCTCCTAGCGGCCCTCTAGGACAGGGTGGAACTGCCCAGGTGGGTTCCTGAGACGGTCACTCTTTATGGGAACAGACAGCCTCGTCCTTCTTCCATGAAGCGAAGGGTGGGTTGGAACCGCCGACCTTGCGGTTAGCAGCTCAATAGCATAACCCTTGACACCACCAACGCTCCTTCTTCTCTTTTCACGAGAGGGGTGACCCCTGGTGCATTTTGTTTTAGGAGGTTTGTGCACCAAGTTTGCAGACCAAGGGCAATCAGAGACAGTCTGGCCACAGAAGGTTAAGGGAAGACATAAAAGAGTTGGGGGGGGGGTAGGGCAGGGGGCCCCTAAGCCCACTCCATAGAAGAGACCCCTACAGAGCTTCCTTCTTGGCTGTGGGGAAGCAGATCGGCGTTGCTGTGCTGCAGGGTCCCTCTTGGTGCCTGTGGAGCCACAAGTGCTGCCCAGAGCCTGGGACAGCTGTGATGACTGTCATTCATTCACCGGGTGGGTGGACAACAAAGGCTATTACTGGGCTCAGTTCCCCCTTGAGAGGCCCCAAGGGCTCTTGTGACCCTTTAAAATTTCAAGTGCTCTCACCCAAGAGCCAGGAGGAGAAGTCAAGCACCGCCTGGTGCTTGAGCCTGAGCCCCGAGGGCTCTTGTCGGCAGCAGGGTTTGCATTGCGCAGCCATCAGAGGGGACCCCTTTCCTATTTCTCAAGGGGGGGCCCTGCTGCCCCAACCACACCAGACTCACTGCCACCGAGTGCAGTGTGACTCAGCGCGGCCGGCAGGGTGGGGCAGAGCTGTCCCTGGGGTTTTTGAGATGGTACCACTTTGCAAGCGTAAAGTCCCGGCTTTCTCCCAGTGGGCAGCTGGTGGCTTGGAACTGCTGACCTCTCAGCTAGCAGCCCAACAAGTAACCACTATGTTACCAGGGCTTCTGTCTCCTTTCCCAGCTAGTCTGATAGGGCAGGGCCATGCCTGCTTCCCTCCAGGTTCCCAGTATGAGATGGGGGCTGAGAAGGGGCTCCAGGATGCTAGGAGGAGGGAGGGAGAGTGAGTGAGGAGTGAGTGAAAGTGAGTGAGAGTGTGAGTAACCGAATGGTGACGGAGTGGGCGGGTGGGCGACTGAGTGCTCAGGAGTCCCCACCCTCACCCCCATCCCTACCCCCACCCCCACCCCCACCAGACCAGCAGGTCCACGGACAGTGATGGTGAGGCTACAGGTGACCCCATGCCCTGCCTGCCCCAGGTGCGCCCGTACCTTTTCGAGATGGAGGTTGATCCAGCGAGTGAAGGTCCTCTTCTGCACAGACTCCCTCTCCGCTGAAATGTGCAAAGGCACGCATTAGCTGGATGGAGAGAACCCCGATGATACCCAACCTCACTGCCCTCCCCCGTCCATTCCGACCACAGCGACCCTGCAGGACGCGGGAGAACTGCCCCTGTGGGGTTCTGAGGCTGTGCCTCTTTATGGGAGTGGACCATCCTGTCCTTCTCCCCAGTGGCTGGTGGTCTCCAACTGCTGACCATGCGGTTTGCAGCACCACAAGAGACCCCCCCTCACCAGCAGGGGCTCCTAGGGGTGAAGAGATGTGTGTGCAAAACGACACCTTCCCCTCCCCTGGGGCTCCTTCAGGGGTCCGGGGGCAATGGGTCCTACCAAAGGGGGCTGGTGGGGCTGGCCCGGCCCCCAGAGTCCAAGGTCCTCAGCCTCACCCCACCTCCCCCCGCCCCGGGTTCCTTCTGGGTCCCGGAGCAGAGTGATCGGCTGGACTCAGGGGACGAGGTGGGCTCTGAGGCCCAGAGTCGCTATGGGAAAATACAAGTTGAGACCACAAAGGGGGGTGTGTGGGGGGGTGAGTGACCAAGGCACACTGGAACCCTCAGCGGCTGGCTGCAGACGTAGATGGTGGCACAGCTGCTTAAGGACACGGGTTGGCAGTGCCAGCGAAAGCAGGTAGCGGCCTCACTCAACCCATGAGCAACCCCACTCCTCGGCATGTGCCCCCCACGACCTGCAGGCTGGGAGTCAGGTACCCGATCACTTGACCCAAGGCTCACAGCAGTCCCTCCGACCAGGGCCACGGACCATCCACAGATCCATGGGTCCACAGAGGCGTCCACACTCCCCATGGAATCCTGGCTATAGAAGCAAACGCCCTGACCTGGAGTCGATTTCGACGCATCGCGACCCTACAGGGCAGGCTAGCACTGGCCCTCCTGGTTTCCGGGACTGTAACTCTTTACGAGAGCATCAAGGTTCCTCTCTGGCTGGTGGTTTCAAACTGTTGACCTTCTGGTTAGTAGCGCAAGGCATAGCCATGACGGCACTTCACTGTCTGAATCAGTGCTGACCCAGAGGGACCCTGTCTGACCACACCACCAGGGCCCCTCTGTCGGCTACAAAGACAACGTTATTCCTAATTCAGCCAGGACCCTGCTGGACCAGGAGACCCGTAAGCCAGACTCAAGAGAGCCAACAGTGCGTGATCCACCTCCAGCGAAGGGCGAGAACAGGCCAATTCAGAGAGGACGGAAAGCAGATCAGAGGTCAGCAGGGCATCCGCGAAAAGGGCAAACCAAAGCGTCCTGGGAGAAGTACGGCCAGGTGCTCCTTGGAGGAGAGAATGGCGAGACTTCACCTCTCAGACTTCGGACACCTGTCAGCAGAGACCAGTCCCTGGAGAAGGACATCACGCTTGGTAAGGGGGAGGGGCAGCAAACAAGAGGAAGCCCCTCGATGAGATGGACGGACACAGTGGCTGCAGCCCTGGGCCCAGGCACAGTTGTGAGGAGGGCGCAGGACCAGGCAGTGTTTTGTTCTGTGGTCCACAGGGTGGTCCCTATGGGTCGGGACCATCTGGATGGCACCTAACAAAAGGGCTGGGGGGAGGGAGACACGAGGCAGGGACAGTTATTGCTTAATGGCATTGTTGTTCTCCGGGGGCCATCAAATCCATCTCCGCTCACAGCCATGACCCCCTGTGACGGAGTGTACCGCTGTTATAATCCTCACAAGCTTGGACGGCCAGGCTCAGTCTCCCTCAGAGTCCTGAGTAGGCTCAAACTACTAACCTCTTGGTTACTGGATGGACATGTAACTATTGGGCCGCCAGGCTTCTTTAAAACCCTGGCTGGGGTCAGGCTCAGGGACAGTTTGGGGCTGGCGCAGCACGGGGCAGTATGTCGATCTGTTGGGCACAGGGTCATGCGGGGTCAGAACAGACTCACAGGAACGTCCACAGCCACAGGCACCAAACCCTGGTGGCACTGTCGGTTGGGCTTCAGTCCACACCGCCGGCTGCTGGGGGAGAGGATCAGGCCGCTAGAAGCCGGTGCCCGTGGGATGGCAGCGGCTTCATTTCGGCAGATCAGGGACGGGCTGGATCCTCCAGGGAGGAGGAGCTCAGTGGCGTCTGCTGAACCCAGGTACGCTGGGAAGGCAGAAAACCCAAGGCGGACACTTCCTGCCAGGAGACAGGGCTCTAGAAAAGATCTTTCATTGCCCAGGCAACTGCCTTCTACCACGCTCCACGGCGTGCCAGGCCTTCATCTTTATCCCACGGCACTCCTTCACGGGGAGGCCGTGCTTTATTAATGCGCCCAAAGGGGCTCCGAAGGGACATCAGCAGGAGAGAGGCAGGACAGAATCACTCCCAGGTCTGTCCATTCACCCCATATCACCCAAAGCCCTCTCAAGACCAAAGAGACGTGTGTGCGTGTGTGTGCATGTGTGTGCACGTGTGCGTGCGCTCTCCCACTTGGATCTTCCAACAGCAGGGGTCTTTTGGAAGTAGATCACCAGGCCTTTCTTACGAAGTGCCTCTGGGTGGATTCGAACCTCCAACCTTTTCTGTTAGTAGTTGAGTGTTTAACCATGTGCACCTTCCAGGGCCCCCACATCAGCCAACACCCTGGGAATAGAAGCAAGGGGCCTGGGTTGGTACCCAAGCTCGGCCTGTTACGGCTAGCATTCACACCCATAATGACGATGAGTAAAATGGTATTTGCGGAGCACCCGCAACACGGCAGCCCCTGATCTAAGTACTTCGCACGCACCAAGAACCAGCTGTCACGGAGATGGTGCCAGTTCACGGCAAGCCCGTGTGTGTCAGGACAAAACTGTTCCACGGGACTTTCAGTGTCTGAGACACACACACACACACACACACACACACACACACACACACACACACATATTGAAAGATCACCTTTCTTCCGAGGTGCCTCTGGCTAGATTCAAAGCCCTCCACTTTAGGTAGGCTAGCCAATTGCACCAGCACAGACACCACTTCCCACGTATCAGTCCTCCAAGGTGGGTGCTATCAAATCGTCCAGGTGGGAAACATGAGGCAGGGAGAGAGGCTGTAACCTGTCCAGGGCCACACAACTGGTCAGGATGGGGGGACGGGGAAATGGATGGATGGACATTTTATAGATGAAGAAACTAAGAGTGAAAGAAAGAAAGAGAGAGGGGGGGGAGAGAGAGAGAGACGGGACCTACAGGACTGGAGGGACTTGGGGGGAAGAGGAGGCGGGGGAAGGGAGCGGTGTGCAAACAACACGACAGACAGGGGAACAACTAGGGAATTGAAAGCAACAACGAGGAGAATGTAGAGATCCCAGGGGTGTTGGAGCCACAGCAATCCAGCTGAGAGGAATCACTAAGAGACAGAGGAAGGGTGAGTCTGATGGTGGGGCAGGAGAAGGTAAAAGGAAACAGAGGAAAGACCTATGGATAGAGACGCAAAGCTATGGATAGAGGTATAAACATAGGTGTGCACTTATGTAATATATAGTAATTCATTAAAATAGAGGCATTGACCTATGCGCATATATTTATATGGCAATCATTGAGGAAATTGATGGGCCTCTGCTCAAGCCCTCCCTCAATGCAAGAACACTTTGTTCCAGCAACCTGGCCTTCTGTGATGCTCACCCCCCTGGCAGATTGCTGAAGACAAAGTGGGTGCATAAGCAAATGTGATGAAGAAGCAGATGGTGCCCAGCTATCAAAATATATAACGTCTGGAGTCTTAAAGGTTTGAAGTTAAACAAGCGGCCATGTAGCAGAGAAGTAACAAGCCCACATGGAAGAAACACACCACTCTGTGTGATCATGAGGTGTCAATTGGATCCGGTAACAGGCATCACAAGACCCAAAACAAAACAAACAAACAAAAAACATATTATTGAGAATGAGGGGGGTTGGAGCAGAGACCCAAAACCCATCTGTAGACAATGGGACATCCCCTCACAGAAGGGTCACAAGGGAGGAGTGAGTCGACCAGGATGCAGTAAAGCATTGATGAAACACACACTATTCCTCTGGTTCCTGGAGGCTTCCTCACCCCCCACTAGCATGACCCCAGTCAGGCCTTCCCCTGGGGGCTAGACTGGAGCAGATGCCCAGGTACAGATAAGAGGTAAGAACTCACGACACGTGGAATACAGGAACAGGAATGGGAGTAGTGATACCGCAGGGCAGGGTCTTGGAAGGGGGGAGAGGAGGGGAGGAAGAGGAAACCGATTGCAATGACTGACACATAACCGCCTCTCCACCCCACCCCCAGGCGGATGAACAACAGAAACCATGGGGGAAGGGAGACAGTGGTCAGTGTAGGATATGAAAATAATGATAATTTATCATTTTTGCAAATCTGGCTAGACCAGAGGATGTACACTGGTACAGATGGGAACTGAAAACACAGGGAATCCAGGGCGAATGATCCCTTCAGGACCAGTGGTGTGAGTGGCAATACTGGGAGCGTAGAGGGAGAGTGGGTTGGAAAGGGGGAACCGATTACAAGGATCTACATGTGACCTCCTCTGGGGGACAGACAACAGAAAAGTGGGTGAACGGAGACGTCGGACAGGGCAAGATATGTCAAAATGATAATTTATAAATTATCAAGGGTTCATGAGTGTGTTAGACAGGGTTCGCTAGAGAGATAAAACCAAATTCCTGATAATATAATGTATTTATTTGTAAAGACAATTAGATATATAACGAGAAATGAACTGTTAAATCATATACAGATAAATATACAATACAAGAAATAAACAGTTAAATTAGAAACACTACAAATGGCTCAGTGCAACTCACGTCCATGAGAGAAAGTTGAGAGACTAGCAGTCCTTCAAGTCTAGTCTGCTGCCAGATCTTCCTCTATTTATAGAGAGAGCTAGGTTATGTCAGCACAGCAGCCAATCACAAGGCAGGTCACCAACCACCAGTCCCCAGCTCCAGAGATGTCTTAAAGGGACCTCAACTTACAGCGACACAGTCCACAGGCTAGACGTCCCACAGGCAGTGTAGCCTT